TCAGGAGCTGAAATTTGGGGGGGGGGATTCTTTTTTAGATACGGGGAAAGGCAACAGGTATTTTGCTTGTCTCTGCTGAAACCCTCCCTTCCCCTTCATTCTTTTTAAATTTTAATTCTGAGTCAGCATGCAAGGATGTTTATGGCTCTGGGGTGGGCTGAGAGGTCCCTGGCCTGGAGGGAGGTTAGGGTGGGTGTCATAAATCACAGGTTGAGGCTTGTCCTGCCTTTGGTCATGTAGCAACTGGCCCAGGTTTTTGTCAGCCGCTGCTGGGCAGATGGGAAGGGGGATCCACTGGTGGAGGAAGATTCCCTGTGCCCAAGCGGAATCCCTTTTTAAACTTTTCATATGTCGTTTCTATTCCTTGTCTCCGTTTTATTTTATTCAGAAGTCGAACCTACACAATCCAAAAGAAGAAGAAAATATATGCAATTTTTATTAAAGTTTTTTTTAAAAAAAAAACAAAACCCAGGGCTTTTTTCCTCATAGAACGCCCAGACCGGAGTTGTTATTATAAATATTATAAATTACAGATATAATGTCCGAATTACAGATATATTTTTTGCTTCATTTGTCACAGCCAGGAAATCTGCAAAGTCTCCATTATACACTCTATTTTTGGCACTCTGATACTATATGTTGGATAGTTTGTTTTTTCGCCCTGCAGTCACAATTCAGTCATGGCATTTATAGAGGGGTCTTCACAGGGCTTTTTTTGTCATAGAACACCCGGAACGGAGTTCCGGCACCTTTTTGGGATGGAACCTTGTAGGGTAGGCAAGGCGGGTTGTATGACGTGTGTGAGTTCCGGCACCCTTTTATATATATATATATATATATATATATATATATATATATAAAGCACTGTGAAAAACCATCACCAAGAGAAAAAGAAAAGCAGAGAAAAGCAGGGAGAAAGCTAAAAGTGCAACAAACAAACAAACAAACAAAACCCCTAGAAAGAGAAAATGCAAAGAAATACAGGAAGTCCTCAACTTATGAACACAACTGTTGCTCAGTCAGACAAGTGAATTGTTCAGTGAATTTTGTTAAGTGAATTTTGACCCATTTTATGACCTTCCTTGCCACAGTTGTTAAGTGAATCACTGCAGTTGTGAGGTTAGTCCCATGCTTGCGACGTGAATTTGGCTTCCTCATTGACTTTACCTGTCAGAAGGTCACCAAAAGGGGATCACGTGACCCCTGGACACTACGACTGTCATAAGTACAAGTCAGTTGCTAAACACCCGGATGGTAAATCTTGCGACCGTGGGGATGCTGGAACAGTCATAAGTGTGAAAAATAGTCATAAATTACTTTTTCCAGTGCTGTTGTAACTTCAAACCATTACTCAATGAACTGTTGCAAGTCAAGGACTATCTGTAGCATCTGATCTTCTTTATATCAGTTATAAGTATCATTATCAACTTACTCTTTACTCTATGGCAGTGGTTCTCCACCTGTGGGTCGGGACCCCATTTGGGGTCAAACGACCATTTCACGGGGGTCGCCAAACAACGCAGTCCGCCATTTTTCCCCCCTTTTCCTTAGCTGTGCTACTCCCTTTTATTCTATTGGATTTTGAAAGCCAATAGAATAGACTCTCTTGAATAGAGTCTAATTCTATTGGCTTTCAAAAGCCAATAGGAATTGTCCAGGCTGTCTCTGCCCTGCTAAGCCCGCCAAAAGCCCCAGTCTGCAAACGGTGCTGCACCAGTTGAGTAGTCCTCGACTTACGACCGGTTGGGGGTTGCGGCATTAAAAAGGTTGAGAATCACTGGTTTAGAAAGACTTTCTAGATTAGTTACAGCATGAAATTCACTCCTTCGAGAACTGTCCTAAAAGAGGATTAAGAAAAGTCGTGAAATTCAGGTGTAGGTGAGGTGGGCAAGCTTTAAATCTTGAAATACCTCAGCAACTCTCTAAAAGCATCTTTGGGACCCCCTTCCTAAAACCATCCTGGTTGGAGAATTCTCCACCCATCTCAAAGTATACTGCTGGGGAATTGAAGTCCACAGGTCTTAAAGTAGTTAAGGTTGAGAAAGTCTGTTGTAGGGAAGCGACAAGAGAAAGGAACAGCTGGTCTAAGCAGGCTTTGGCTTCTGGAGACAGCTAGGCAAATATTTTGTTCCCTCAGCTAGATTACAATGTTCTTGCAGTTAAGGAGCAGCCAGACCGCAAAGTTACGATTAAGCAATCAGTTCAGAGAGGCAAAATCAAGCCAGAATAAACAAAGGAAAGATCCAGGCTCCAGCGTGCTTACAAAAGAGGAATATTTTCAGTTGTGGACATCTATATACAGTTATGACCACATTTTCTTGGAAAATAAAGGACAAACCAGAAGGAGGAGCAATTCTAAAATAGGTTCCAAAGGTCAAAACATTTTAATTGTTTATTTTTATATTTCATTTGCTTTACAATGGAAATTTCAAGTGCAAAGCAAAGAAAAACTTGACAAAAAAAGGCATCCGTGTTCGCCACCTTATTTCTAAAAAATGAAAGATGGGATGTAAATCCATCAATCTAATAAAATAAAATTGTCTATGCAAATTTCTTTTAAGAAGACAAAGGTGAAAAGGTGTATTAGGGGATGCCACTGGCACGGTGAAAGTTAAAGGATCAAAATAAAGATGAGTTTTTGAAAAATAAATAAATCTCAAGGACTGAAACATTGTAAAAGAAAGTGATATTGATAGAAGAAAATACAGTATTTGTAGTTCGGGGTTGGAAGTTTGCAGAATGGAGAAGGGGTGGGGGGGGAGGAGGAGGAGGAGGAGGAGGAGAAAGAAAAAGAAGATGACCACATTGGAGACCTTGCTGCTCTCTGAGGTTGGTTGTTTTTTTTTGAAGACATACCATTACCAATCTAGGTAACATTATCAGTGCTACAAAGGAGTGGGATTAGCTCTGTGATTTTTTTTAATACAATTCAACCCTGCTTATTCAACAAATGTGTTGTCTGAGTTTATCATTGATTAATACAAATTAAGTTTCTAATCCCTAGTTCGTTTCTCCAACCATTGGTAAAATAAGTCTCAAATTTGAAAATATTCTGTTTCTTTTTTTTTCTTTCCATCTCAAAGTGAGTCTATCCATTTCTGCACAGTCTAATATTTTTTTAATTATTTCTTCCTCCGATGGTGTTTCTTCATTTTTCCAATATTGTGCAATATTGGTGTCCTTGATTGGGCTGTTGTTTAATATTAGCTTGTTTGTCTGAGTTGATAGTTTCTTGATTGGGATATTGTTTACTTCTTGATTGTTGGTCTGATGTTAATCTCGGTGCTAATCTCTGCTTATCTGGGTGTCAATGGGTATTTTGGTCTTTTGGGTTCCTTTTTGGCTTTGTGATTGTCTCTTTTGAATGGTGTGTAAATGTTGCTTATCTCTATGTGTCTGTTGATGGCTGATTTGAGCACCAGGCTTCCAGGAATTCTCCAGTGTTTTTGGATTTGGCTTGGTCTAGGAATTGAAGTCCACACAACTTCACATTGCCAGGATTGAGAAATAATGCACCAGATATTTGTGGCCAGAGAGCTACTGATAAGTTATTTTTATTTAAAGCGCAGCTATTTCTTTGTGGGGTGACGCACAAGCCTGAGGCTGGATGGTTGCCCCATAAGCATCTGGGGAAAACTGAACTCACTGAGAACTAAAGAAAATTCAGCAGAGGAAGTGGATATTTTTCTGCAGATTCTGAGTCAGTGGAGAGAACGGAGCTGCACTTGGTGACTCTGAATTGGATGGGCTCCATCATCACAAGGCAGAAAAATCTGTTTTCCCTGCATTTGTCATTCCCCAGAACTAAGCTAATCCAATGCGAGGCTCCTTTCTGTAACTGCTCTGTGACTTTGTTAACAATACATTTAATCAGAATCAGAGTAGAGCTGGAAGGGACCTTGGAGGTCTTCTAGTCCAGCCCCTGGCTCAAGCAGGAGACCCTATACCAGCGGTTCTCCACCTGTGGGTCGGGACCCCATTTGGGGTCGAACGACCATTTCACGGGGGTCGCCAAACAACGCACTCCGCCATTTTTTCCCCCTTTTCCTTAGCTGTGCTACTCCCTTTTATTCTGTTGGCTTTTGAAAGCCAATAGAATAGATTCTCTTGAATAGAGTCTAATTCTATTGGCTTTCAAAAGCCAATAGGAATTGTCCAGGCTGTCTCTGCCCTGCTGAGCCCGCCAAAAGTCCCATTCTGCAAACGGTGCTGCACAGTTGAGTAGTCCTCGACTTACGACCGGTTGAGTAGTCCTCGACTTACGACCGGTTGGGGGTCGTGGCATTAAAAAGGTTGAGAACCACTGCCCTATACCATTTCAGACAAGTGGCTGTCCAATTTCTTCTTAACAGCCTCCCGTGATGAAGCACCCACAACTTCTGAAGGCAACTTCTGTTCCACTGGTTAATTGTCCTCCCTGTCAGGAAGTTTCTCCTTAGTTCCAGGTTGCTTCTCTCTTTGGTCAGTTTCCATCTGTTGCTTCTTGTCTTGCCCTCTGGTGCTTTGGAGAATAGTTTGACCCATTTCTTTCTGGAAGCCCCCCAATTACCAGAACACTGCTATATCATGTCTCCCCTAGCCCTTCTTTTCTCTAGACTAGCCATTCCCAAATCCTGCAGCCATTCTTCATATGTTTTAGTCTCCAGGCCTTTAATCATCTCAGTTGCTCTTCTTTGCACTTTTTCCAAAGTCTCAACATGGTGACCAAAACTGGATGCAGGATTCCAGATGTGCCCTTACTAAGGCTTTATAGAGCGGTACTAATATTTCACATTTATTTGTTTCTATGCCTCTAAACGAAGGATTGTGTTAGCTTTTTTGGCTGCTGCCGCACATGGCAGACTCATGTTTACATGATGGTCCACTAGGACACCAAGGTTCCTCTCACAGTGACTGTTTTTGAGGAGTATTTATTTAAATTTAAATAAATATGTATTGTCTTCACTCTTTAATCTTTCATTAATATGCATTCAAAATTTTCACAATCTGTTTCCATTCAGCTTAAACCACTTACAGATAGTTCTTGACCTAGGAACACGATGGGGACTGGAACTGCCATTGCCAAACAAAGCGGCCTTTAAGTGAGTCGCGCCCAATTTTACAATCTTTTTTGCTGTGGTTGTTAAGCGAATCTAGGACACTACAGACCAATACCTGGGAAGATCCTGGAAAAGGTCATCAAGCAATAGATCTGAGAACATGCAAGCAAAGTTATAACCAGAAGCCAACATGGGTTTGTCAAAAACAGCTCCTGCCAATCAAATCTGATTGCATTCTTTGTCAAAGTGGACCAGAGAAATGCTGTGGACATAGTATACTTGGACTTCCGTAAGGCATTTGACAAAGTAGGCCACAACCTACTTCTTGATAAGCTAAAAAAAAATCTGGGATAAACTGAATCACCACCAGATGGATTCCTATCTGGCTGAACAACCGAACTCAAACGTGCAGTCCTTAATAGAGCTACATCTACATCAGGGGTTCTCAACCTTGGCAACTTTAAGACTTGTGGACTTCAACTCCCAGAATTCCTCAGCCAGCAAAGCTGGCTTAAAGTCTTAAAGTTGCCAAGGTTGAGAACCCCTGATCTACATGAGGGGAAATTGAGTCGACTCTTGGCTGGTCTGTGTTCTGTCTTGAAGTTTGGTAGTGATCCCTTGGCCATTGACCTTGAAAGTTGTCCAGAAGTTGGAGCAACCAGGCTGTTAAATGGGTCTACAAGGTTTCTCTCTCTCTCCCTGAAGGTCTGTACTTGTTTCCATGAAGACCAAATTCCTGAGCATAAGTTAAATGTTGGTGTTGCCCTTCAAAGCCCCAAATAGCCCGACCATGTAAGGACATACTTCTCCAGTTACAGGCCTGATAAGAATGGCAGAAGATCCCTTTGAAGCTGCCCAGGAGTTCTCCTTCTGGTATGCAGGAGAGGACTTCCCCTTGCGTTCCTCCTGAGATAGCAGATCTCAAGAATGTCATCTCCAGGAAGGAATGGACGTTCTCTACATCACCCTGGAGGTTGAAACATCTGGGAAGGAGATTCAGATGAGATACGAGGAGGAATTGCCCAAGGTCGAATTGCTGTCCATCGGTGAAATAGGGTGGCTTCATGAATAGTCTGTTGGCTTCACCGGAAGTCTTCCAATGGAGGCTGGATCTGGCTGACATGCTTTAGTGGAAGTTGTGGGACTTGTAACACTCTTAGATTAGGAGAGGAGATTTGGGTCACTCACTTCTCCTACCTCCTTATTTTGTACCTCTAAAGCAGTCATTTAAAGCTTTGGAGTAATGGAGAGATTTGAGCAGTGTCTCTCAACCGTAGCCTCTTTAAGATAGATGGACTTCAATTCCCAGAATTCCCCAGCCAGCTTGGCTGGCTGGGGAATTTTGGGAATTGAAGTCCCAACTATCTTAAAAGTTGCTAAAGTTGAGACACAGTGCTTTAGGCTGATACAGGTAATCCTCAACATGTAACCATTCATTTAGTGACTGAAGTTACAACAGCACTGAAAAAAGTGACTTATGGCCGTTTTTTTACACATACATCTGATGCAATATCCCCAAGGTCACATGACTAGTTTCATGTCTTCTCTCTTTTAATTGTTTTATTAGTGTTTGCAATACTGTACTTACCTTTCTATTGCCTTCTCTTTCTTTTATGTCACCTTAGTGTTAACAATATTTGTGACAGTACTGTTAATGTCTTCATTATTATTTTTATATATATATTTTCTACTCTAAAAGAGTATTTTTCAACCTTGGCAACTTTAAGAGTTGTGGACTTTATGTTGTAGTCCACATGTCTTAATGTTGTCAAGATTGAAAAACATTAGATTGGGTGTCAATTATATTAATTTTATATTATCTTTAGTTAGCCTACGATCAAATTTGTTTACAGTTCTTAACTGAACTTTTTACCTTTATGTCAAATAACTTTTTTTTTTTTACTGGCAGCCACTAAAACTCCTTAAGGAGCTCATATTCATATTTTTTCCAGTCCTTCAGCATTCAACGCTTGCAAATAAAATAGGGAAACTATTAACATCTGATCTGCTCTTTCAAAATTCATTTTTTCTGCAAGTTGACATAATGCCAAGGAAGTATCTTGTTAAAAACTAAATGATCAGCAATAAAATACCTTATGTTATCTGAAAGGGCACTTTAGTTTCACGGGGGTAGTCATATATCTAGAAATATAATTTTGGCACCCTCATTGAGAATCAGTTCCTTTACTGAGGGACATCAAATAGACCTCTTGAGGACTAGCAGCTTTGAAAATGTCACTGTGACCAAATGCACATCTATCCTTTTGGTTTAACTGCATCAAAGCAACACTTGGTTAACAAATCCAACAAATAAATACATTTTTACTAGTTTCTGACGTCTTTAATTACAGGTCTTTATTTTTTGTAACAAAAAGATATTTAATCTTAAAAAAAAGATAATTCAAAAGTTAAAAATTCAAACTAAGAAGGAAAAGAAAAAAAATCCATCATGCAATAAATGAATAACAAAGCAATAATGAACGCACCAGGGAAATATTCCTTTATTGTTTTTGCCAAGTCAAATTCTCTGCAGGAGACCTGCTAAGGTTAAAATCTGAGCAGAGGTTATCAAATCTTGAAGATGCTTTTTCCTTTTGCTTTTGGCAACATGGTGTTTGCAAGAGTCTGTTTTCATTCAAAAAGAGCCATTTTTGGCTTTACTGGGAGCAGGATTTTTGCACATCAGTTTTGATAAACAGGATGTAATAAAGACCACCCACGTTTTGAACCAGACAGTTCAACGATAGGGAAGTGGTGATGTTATTCCTCTTTAGAGGTGGTTTCTTAATTTTAAGAGGTGTCTCTGAGTTTATATATTTGTTTAAAAGATAATTTCCTGGAAAAGTATAGTGCTCTGGAATTAAAAAGGCTGTTGTTTCGATTGTCATAATTATGGGGTGTGCAATGTTGCTACAGGCAGTGCCCTCCACCCTGGGGACCCCACTTATGCCCATAGCTATGACATTGAGTGGGCAGATAGAGCTTGCTAGCTGCAGGGTTTTCCCCAGTTGCAATGTATGGCTGTGAAAGTTGGACCATAAGAAAGGCTGAGTGCCAAAGAATGGAGGCCTTTGAACTCTGGTGCTGGAGAAGACTCCTGCGAGTCCCTTGGATTGCAAGGCGTTCAAACCGGTCAGTCCTAGAAGAGATCAACCCCGACTGCTCTTTAGAAGGCCAGATCCTGGAGTTGAAACTCAAATACTTTGGCCACCTAATGAGAAGGAAGGACTCCCTGGAGAAGGGCCTAATGCTGGGAAAGATGGAGGGCAAGAGAAGAACGGGACGACAGAGAATGAGATGGCTGGATGGAGTCCCTGAAGCAGTAGGCGTGAGCTTAAATGGACTCCAGAAGATGGTAGAGGACGGAAGGCCTGGAGGAACATTGTCCATGGGGTCGCGATGGGTCGGACATGACTTCGCAATTAACAACAACAACAACAAGCTGCAGGGAGCTCAGATACCTGAGGATTTTTTCCCACTCTATCTCCCAAACTGACTGGGGATTATGGGCACTGAATGCCAACTGGTCCTTGGAATCATTTGGGGATAGACAAATACCCATCATCGCCCATCCTTCACCAGTTTCCTTGGTTTCTTGCCAGTTCTCACAGCAAAAGCACCTTCAGCATTTTAACAGAATGACAGAATAACAGAGTTAGAAAGGACCTCAGAGATCTTCTAGACCAACCCCCTGCTAAGCGAGAGACCCTACACCATTCCGGAAAAATGGTTGTCCAAACTTTGTTGATTTATTGTGGTTTCTGTTATCTGGACTTTTGATTTAGAATCTGGGTTTATTTTTGCATAAAACCCTGATTAAACAAGTAAAAATAATTTAGTTTAAAACTAATTTGTTTTGTTTTTTGCTATCTGGATTTTTTTTTAATGTAGAATTTTGTTTGAGTGTGGAACCCCAAGATAATGTAATTTGAAACGTATCGTGCTTTTTGTTGTCTGGAGTTTTGGTTTAGAATCTGGATTTATTTTAGTAAATGAACAAGTAAAAATAATTGCAATAGAGAGAAGTTTCCTGAGGATGGGCCTCTGCCATAAGTCTTGCAAAAATAACTTAGTTTCAAACTGATCTGTTGTATTTCTTGTTACTGGGAGTTTTGTGTGTAGAATCTGGGTTTATTAATTAAGGTGACCAACCGTCCTCCTTTAGGGAGGACAGTCCTCCTTTTGTAACTTCTGTCCTCCCTCAAAAAGTGTTCTCCTACATGTCCTCCTTTTCAATATTTGAAGACTAATCTGCAGGGCTTTTTTTTTTCTCATAGAACGCTCAGAACGGTGTTCCAGCACCTTTTTTGATGGTTTTTTTTTTCCCAACTTTTGCATGAGCTGTGCTACTCCCACTATTGGCTTTCGAAAGCCAATAGGAATTGCTGCTGAGCGCGCCAAAACACCCGGCCGGCAAACTTTGCATGTGCAAGTTGTCTGTATTATTGTTGCATTGAATAAAATGTTACTTTTATTTACGATATTTCTTTCTTCGATTTATCTGTGTCCTCCTTTTCATTGTAAAAAAGTTGGTCACCTTAATTTATTTGAGTGCGGAACCCCGATTAAACCGCTTAAAGATAATCTAATTTGAAACTGATGTGTTGTGCTTTTTTGCTATCTAGTTTTTTTGGACGGCATCTGGGCTGATCTGAGTGCGAAGCTTGGAGGCTTTTTTAGGGAGCCCTGCAGGCAACTTTGAGGGGGAACTGGTCTGCCAGCAGATCTCCTCCTCCACTTTGAAGGAATCGCGTTTCCAACAGGAATGCAAGACGGAGAGCTGGACGGATCCCAACTGGGAGAGTCACTGCCTTGTCAACAAGAGAAGGAATCACGCATCTCCAGCGTGATCCTGCATGTGAACTAGCCTGGCCCGCCAATCAGGGAGCCTCACAGCCCGGTCTTGCACCCAGAGCACACCTGTGACACGCATGAGAGGAGTGCAACTGCCTTCCAGGAATGGATGCAACTTTGTGGTGAGCCAGCGTTGCGCCTGGCCAGCCGTGCTCATGTTCCCTGCCTTGCCAGGAAAGGAAAAAGGACGCACGGAGGCTGAAATGTTGCTGTTCCTTTGCAGGTGTCACTTTTCTGCAGGGGAAAGAGTTCCATTTCAGGTCAGTCCAGATTAGTGGTTCTCAACCTGTGGGTCGGGACCCCATTTGGGGTCGAACGACCATTTCACGGGGGTCGCCAAACAACGCAGTCCGCCATTTTTTCCCCCTTTTCCTTAGCTGTGCTCCTCCCTTTTATTTTATTGGCTTTTGAAAGCCAATAGAATAGACTCTCTTGAATAAGAGTCTAATTCTATTGGCTTTCAAAAGCCAATAGGAATTGTCCAGGCTGTCTCTGCCCTGCTGAGCCCGCCAAAAGCCCCATTCTGCAAACGGTGCTGCGCCAGTTGAGTAGTCCTCGACTTACGACCGGTTGAGTAGTCCTCGACTTACGACCGGTTGGGGGTCGCGGCATTAAAAAGGTTGAGAACCACTGGTCCAGATTAAATCAGACAATTTCTTGGTGGGGAAAGAACACCAATGTCTGGGACGAAAATGACGCTAGCCACAAAACCAACGGCTGTCGTGCATTTGTTATTTATTCCAGATGATCCTCGGCTTACAACGGTTTGCCACTATTGCAAACTTACAATTGTTTGTTTAGCGACTGTTCAAAGTTACAATCCGGTCCTCACACTTATGACCATTGCAGCATCTCTATGGTTCTGTAAAATTCAGATACAGAATTATCTGAACTTACTACAGTTCATTTAGTGACCGTTCAAAATTACCACGGCATTGAAAAAAGTGACTTATGGCCATTTTTCACACTTACAGCCCTTGCGGCCTCCCCCGGGTCACGTGATCAAAATTCAGGCGCTTGGCAACTGACTCATGTTTATGACGGTTGTAGTGTCCCGGGGTCACGTGATCCCCTTTTGCAAACTCCTGACATGCAGAGTTAATGCGGGAAGCCAGATTCACTTAACAACTGCAGTGATTCACAATATCTGTGGCAAGAAAGGTCGTAAAATGGGGCAAAACTCTCTTAACAACTGTCTTGCTTGACAACAGGAGATTTTGGGCTCCATTGTGGGCATAAGTCAAGGACTTCCCCTGTACCTGTCCAACTGCTGAGTGCTTGCTTCTGTTGTCCCTATTAATTCACACTCAGTTATCACAATCAACAATCTAAATTTGAATCACATCCTGTTTGGCTGTTTTTTTCCTTCTCCTAATTAAAAATATCTACATTACTATTTCCTCAGTGGATGACCAGGTTGCCTTCAACTGAATCAGACTTA